GATGTTCTCCCTCCAGTTCCCCCAGCGGCTGACTGATCCAGTGGTAGATTTAAATATGAAGCGCAGTTCGTTTACAGAAGATCTGAGTTGAGCTGGAGGTTCGCTGGTGTTTTCCTGGAGGCGTGAGCGCTGGCGTCATGGTGTTGAAGCAGTTTGGTGGCAGCTGAGCAGCAGCTCTCTGCAGACCGCGGTGACAGAAGGAGGTCAGCGATGAGGAATTACAGCCGCCTCGGACCGACGCGAGGCTTCAGGTGTTTTCACAGCTGCACGTATGAACTGCGGTCGGCGTGGAGTTTACGCGCCGCGATGCGTGACGGAGGGTTTAGAAGTTTAATTCTTTAATTCTGACTCCAGGTTTCTGTTGTTCTGACGTTACTCAGAGCGGCTGAACTGATCCTGTGACCTCCGTGGACTAATGAGCTCATTTCAGCTCAACTTCACACCTTTTTCTCGAGCAGCTCAGCTCACCTGGACGTGTGGTTTCATCACCTGTTCACACTGAAAGATCGTCAAATCAGAACTGTCTGAAGCAAAACTAGTGACAAATGTGCAGATGTTTTGGACTTTTGGTTGAACAGAACAAGACTTTTAGGAGTTTTTTGACATTTTAGAGACTGAACGCTGCATCAACTTATCAGAAAATAAAAAGCAGGTTAATGATTCATCAACAGGGAAGCATTCAGTAAAACAGTATTTAAACCAGTCGAACAACAAACTGAAAATCAGCGTAAAAGACAAAGTTAAAGAAAACTTCAAGGATTTAAATCAATTAAAAGCTCAAGTTTATTTAATTTTAGTGGCTTGTTTAACTTGTGCAGAGCTTAAAAATAATGATAAGAATATTAAACACCAGTTTGTTAATGTTCGTGTGACCTTAATTTAATGTGAAACTATAAAATAATTGATTTTTTTTATGCTTATTTGGTGTTTGGTTCACATTTAATGACTTTAGCTCATCTGTCCAAATAATTACTTTGTCAATATAATATTAAAGAATGAACTGAATTATTATTATTATTGTTATTATTATTATCTGGAGAACCTGAGAACGTTTGATTATTTGTTAAATTTTCAAAGACATAATCATCAGAATTCTAACTTCAGCAGCAGCATGAAGTTCATGTTTTAGTGATTTTGGGTCAGATATGTGAGCCGCTGTGGGGTTATTATGGGTCAGTTTGTGTTTCTGTAACTTTGACGACTTTTTAAGGCCACGAAAGCTCAAAAAGTTTAGGAGCAGTTTGCTGCTAATTGGCTGCTAATTGGCTGCTAATTGGCTAATGTTAGCACGCTAGCAGTGTTGTGGGGTTTGTGTAGAAATGACGGTAAAGCGACGGTAACACTTCTTGAGCTTCTCTGTGCTTCTGCTGCAGATCGATGCCGTCAACAGAAAGGAAGCGATGAAAGCCATGACCGAGACCTTCTACGCCGCCATATTCGGATACGACGAGGTGACAAACGAACTCCTGATCAAACCAGTTTTACCGTAAATTAAATTCAAATCTCCACATCTGGCTGCTGAATAAACCTTTAATGGAGCTAAATGAAGACGAGGAGCTCAAACCAGCAGACAGGAGCAGATCTCAGTCCTGTAGAGGTTTGGGTTTTTACTGATGGACGTGTGGTTTCAGGGGATCCTGTCCGACGACTGCGTGCTGGCTGCAGCTCTGTGGAGGAACCTGTTCACTCAGGAGTGTGAGGATCCCAGACAGCTGGAGCTGCTGGTGGAGTACGTTCGCAAACAGGTGAGTCGCTCGGCCGCAGGTGTTCATTACTTTAGTTGTTTATTGTTATTTACACGAGCAGCCTGTTGTTGTTTTTGTGTCAA